TCCTGCTGCCCGTACCATAATTCGGATCTTGAAGTAATGCCTGAACTTTTAAAATATTCTTGTGAGGGGTTTCTGTACTTTAGGTCAATTTCCCTTTAATCCACCCTGCATCTGCCCTTGGGAATTTTCCTAAAAGACGGTTTTCTAAATCAGTGCTTCTAAAACAATAATGTGCATATGAATCTTAAAATGCAGACTCTGAATTCAGTAGGTCTAGGTGAGACCTGAGTGAGATTCTTTTCCAACAAGCAACAAGTTGATGCTGATGCACCGGGTCTACAGATATTTTGATGAACAGGATCCTAAATCAGTCACTTATCAGTAGTCTAAGATAAGTTCTCAGTGCCTTAGAGTTGCTACATGGTTTTTTAAGAGGGTAGTTACAGCCACAGTTACTAAAAATTCCTGCAGCTACAACATGCATATGAGATTAAATAATTAATTAGCTAATTAATTGTGAATGAATAAATAAAATTGAAAAGGCCATGCATGGACCAGTGGTGTTCTTAAGCAGACTGCCAGATAAAGCAAATAAAAAGCATGTCTTATGCAATATTGGGGATATAGTTATACTAAAAAATTATTTGTTGTTCATCTAAAATTAAATTTGACTGGACATCCTATATTTGATCTGGCTGCCCTAGTTATAAACCAAGGATTATGATTGTGTGCCCTTAAAAAGATGATGTTCAGCTTTTAATTTGTAAGTATGTTTTAAAACCATGGCCTGAAAAACAACTTTGTACTGGCTGAGAGATTCAGCTTGAATCATGCTCTAGTTAAATATCTCTTTTTAAATAGCATGAACAGTGGGGATTGGGGGAACCCATGAGAATGTGCAACAAAATCACCAGGGTGAAGTAGGTGAGACTGCCCTTCTGTAAGAGAGCATCCTCTGGATACACGCATTTCTGTCTTTATGACTACCAGTGAGGATGATTTAAACTAAAACAACAATAACAAAAATCCCCACTGTATTGGGGTATAAATTATGTACCATAAAATTCACCGATTTTAAGTGTATAATTTGATGAGTTTTTGACAAATGCATGTACAGTTATATAACCACCACTATAATCAAGATACAGAACAATTTTCTGTCCCCTCAGATATTTCCCATGTAGTTGACCTCCTCCTCCCTCAACCCCCGGCCCCTGAGAATCACTGATCTGTTTTCTGTCACTGTTGTTTTGCCTTTTCTAGAGTGTCATATAAATCATATAAGTGGAATCATACAGTATGTAGTCTTGTGTGTCTGGCTTCTTTCACTTAGCATAATGCTTGTGAGATTCATCCATGTTATTGCGTGTCAGTAGTGTGTTCCTTTTTATTGCTGAGTGATTATTCCATGGTATGGATCTGCCACAATTTGATAATCCATTCATCTGTGGGTAGACATTTGAGTTGCTTCCAGTTTTTGTCTGTTAGAAGAAAAGCCACTGTTTGCATACAGGTCTTTTTGTGGACATGTTTTCATTTCCCTTTGGTAAATATATAGGAGGGGAATTTCCAGGTCATATGGTGGGTGTATGTTTAATTTTATAAGAAACTTCCAAGCTCCTTTCCAAAGTGGCTGTACCATATTGCTTTTTTACCAGCAATGTATGAGAGTTGCAGTTGCTTCACATCCGAGGCAACGCATGGTATGGTCAATTTTTAAAAAATCTTAGCCATTAAATTTGATTGCGTGAATGAATAACCCCACTCTCAGTCAGGGGTCGTCTGCTCACTTACAGACCTGATTAAAGTGGGTTCAGCTGCAGGTCCCCAGATTGTGATTGTCCAGAGTTCTCCTTAAGATTTCTGCTGGGTTCCTCAGCATCCTCAGGGCGATCTTCCTCCATGCTCCTTCATCCTCTCCTACTGTCTGTTTCACCCTATGATAACTTGATATGAAGGCTGAGCTCTTCACTGGTTTCCACAAAAGTTTTTTCACATGAAGCACTTCATGAGATAAACAACCTTCCGTAACTTCACTGGAGTCTTAGTAACTTTACTGATGGGAAGGTTTCCAAACAGCTTTTTAAACATCTTGCTGACCCTCCCTATTCTCTGTCCTCTCCCCCTTGTTCCCTCTCCTCCCACGCTCACCCTGCCTGGTTTGAAATTATTTCCTGTGAGAATTATTTCTTCAGAAAAAAAGGAACGAAGAGAAACAGTCAGAAAAACAGGCATATACTCTCAGCACGGCTCTTGAAGTATAAAAAGTACTTTGGCTGACCGAGAACCAAGGCCCCTAAGAAGATGCCATATACGACTTCCAGAATTATCCTTAAATTTATAGCTATATAAACAAACTCAGGGCAGTGTTTGCTGTTGTGTACACGTAATAGAAAGTACTCTTTCTCCCACGAAGCTTTTGAAATCAAAATGGAGAGTCACAGTAAGGCTTTGGGGAGTCATTGTTAAGATTGCCTGCTCTGGGCTTGAATCCCTTACCACTTACATGATGAGTAACCAGGATGGAGCTGGTTAGTCCCTTTGATCCTCAGTTTCCTCATCTGCAAAATGAGGGTTATAAAAGGACCTGCCTCACAGGGTTGTTGTAAAGGTTAAATGTGTTTGTGCATGCAAAGGGCTTACCATACTTTCTGGCACACTGGGAGTGATCAATAAATGTCAGCTGTTATTTTTTAAAGGAGACATAGAACTAACTGAACTCTTATGAGAAACAAGGAATGATAAAGTTGTATGCAGAGGTCATCAGCCACATAATAACCAAACAGCTGGGATCAAATGACAAGCAGCACGGTCCCTGACTTAACTGGTCTGTTACCCTCTAAGAAACTTTAAGCGTAAAAGAAAAATACTTTTCATTGTTTTTCCTCATAAATGAGGCAAAGTAAATTTGGTTTCTTCTCTTTGTATTAGTCCAATTGTATTGAGTAAGCCAACACTGATTCCAACTAATTACCAAGAAACCTAAGAAGAAATGTCATTACTGACTGTTTATAAAACAATCCTTGGTACCTTTTAGTGACCCCAGTTACTTAAGGTACCAACTCTGGAGAGCTGCCTGAAGGGAGCAGTTGAATATTGAACACTAAAGTCTGAACTACAACATAGTCCAGAAAATTCAGGAAGATTTTTAAGATTCAGGAAAATGTATAATCGCTTCATCCGCCTCTAGTGAAGTATCTCAACTAATTAAACTTTTGCAGGAGTTCTTTTCATTAGTCTTATAATCATA